TATATATATATATATATATAAATTAAGAGTGATTATATTTCCATCTTTCCCTTTGTTATATTCATGTTTCTGTGACTTTATAGCAAGTGCAAAAAGGTGTATTATGTAATTGTAGTGTGTAATCATTTTTTTTCGAAATTTGCATAATGTATATAATTATCACGATGTGTAATTAATGACACTTATTCACTCTTTGGTGTTATATTACTATAGAGAAATTGTATTATACACTTCCTTCCCTCCTTTGTTTTTTTATCACATTTCATTGTTCTTTTCTTTTTCTTGGTGAGTATTCTCTTGAGGTAGATAAACGAGCTTAGGTCGTTTAAGTTGGATGTTTATTTAACGTGAATAGGGTGGTATGCCTTGGTATCAGTTGGTCACAATACAGCAGACAAATTGATTATTTTACCTTGTGTCTGCATTTTAATCTTAGTGTAATATCATTTAAAAAGAAAAAAACTTCATCTGAAGTTAGTTACAGGGAGTACTGGACAGCTGTTTCGTCCCGTTTTGCGACTCATCAGCAGTACTCACCCACCACAGGGGTTCAAACCAAGGACCTTCCGGTTACAAGCCAAGGTCGTAGACTATTCAACCATTCATTGGTTGATTTTAGGGAGGCCACCAGCCACCGGCGAGTACTTGTCGTCACCCTTGACCAGATAGACCTTACTAGTCATGGCTTCTCACTTGAACTACAGGCATCTTCGTTCTGTAGTCGGACAGTAGCGAGGTTTAGAACAAGAGTGATTTGTAGATATTTGATATGTTTCAAGTTTGACCACGGATTGATATCAGTTAGAGAACTATTGAAAACACCAAAATGACAAATTAGGAAAAGTTAGAATCCATGGGCTGGCCATTTAGTTCGATCCCAGTAGCTGAATGATCTACGAGTTAGGTTGTCTTGTAACCTGAAGGTTGTGGGTTCGAACCCTGATGGTTGGTGCGTACTTTCGTTGAATTGTAAACTAGGACGAAAGAGCTATCCAGTATTCCCTGTGACTTTTCAATAGTTTCCTAACTAATGTTAATCTGTAGTCAAACTTAAAAGCCTGAGTTGTTTGTGGATCTCCCTTATTGTATTAGTGCAAATTTTGTCAATAGTAAGTTATCATACTGTGTAAGATTGTATATTATTATTAGTAGTAGTATTATCATGACCAATCTCTAGAGTTTATTAGCTTATTCAGTGATCTGTTCACCTCAGAAAGCTATTATCTCCGAAATAAAATTATTCTTCTCATTGTTACTTTTCTTTTAAATGTAAACCGATTGAAAGTGTCCAACCAGAGGACTCCGAAGTTATTCCTTTTTTATGTTGTTCATGAAAAATAGAATACTTATTTGGTTACGGGATTTCATCATGAGCCGACATCGGTTACAGAGCCGTTGGAAAACCTGGGAGTATTGGGCAGCTATTTCGTCCTAGTTTGGGACTCTTCAGTAGTACGCACAAGGCTTAATGGTCTAGGAGCTCGCCTTGTAACCAGAAAGTCCTGGTACGTGCGTACTAATGAAGAGTCCCATACTAGGACGAAACAGCTGTCCAATACTCCCAGGTTTTCCAATGGCTCTGTAACCGATGTCAGCTCATGATGAAATCCCGTAACCAATCAATCAAATCCCCCTACACACCGACACTAGAATACTTAGTTACTGTATTCATGCTTTTTCTCTTTTGTGCTATGAATCATATTTAATATTATATGATGGTACTCTGATTAATGAATTTGCCTAGCTAACAGGCACTGCTGCTTGGTATAAATGAGTTCCAACTACTCATATGAATCAGTAGTATGTAAGTATCATGCAACTCTGCTTATTTAGGTCAAACAAAGCATTTAGAAGGTAACTTGTATCAGGAAACACTTTTTACAGTATAGCTGAAATATCAGACTTCATTCTTTGCAGTCACTTTTTTCCAGACATTTCGCCGACTGACTGACTGGCTGAATTTCAGCATACAACGCTTTGCATAGAAGTGTGGCACTTCAAGGTGCTACACTACCTGTAGCATTCAAAGATAGAGAATAGGGGGAAAAAGAAATTCAGCAGAAGCATAATAAGCAGAAATATACGGGAGAAAGAACAGTGCCATAGAGAGGAACACAAGGGTTCAATGAATATGCGAGGTCACAAAGAGTGAATGCATCTGAACTATAGAGAACTATTTTTAACCATATCACCAATAGTCCCCAGCTATTGGTTCTTAGCATGTTGATTACCCTACGTAACAAAATCCAATAGTCGCAGACTTCATGGATTGATTCCAAGTTTCGATTTGACCAACCCTGACTTTTTTCCAACCCAATTCTATGTCAGGTATTACTGCTTCTTGAGGAAGGCGATAGCCTGACATGCGTAACACATGTTCTAGCCATCTCAGTCAATGTAGTTATACAACCTCATCGATTTATTTTCAGCCCTTAGCTAATACCCTATGCACAGTATAAATGTTCCTCGTCATATTATACCACTTAACATGGGAAATAAAACACAAACATATATGTTCAAAGACAGCTAGCCTCTTAATATATTCCACTTTGAATGCCTCAGAGCTATAATAAAGGACAGAGGGATAACCGGATATCATGTCTACACCATAGATGATGCAAGTTGACAGACGCCGTGCTGAGGTTTCGTCAGCAATCAATGTATCAAAGCTGATACAACCTCCCAAATATATGGTGGCCAACACGCTCAACTGTTTAACTTCCTATCCTTAAGCAGCCCAGTCATGTGGCATCATTTTACATTTGATAACCATTCTACTAAGTAATTCTTTACAAATATTCATCTTTTTCATGTGTTTGTGTATTCGTTTGTGGTATGATTTCATATTGAAGAGAAACACACGGGCACATATAATTGGTGTATTATTAAAGGTGATTTAGTGTTGTGCTTTCTTTTCAACACATTTTATTGTATAAAACTCTTTTGTTGAATTTAGGCAGTCTGGAAACTCTTCTCCTGAAATGTTCAATAAAATGTTTTCACTAATGTTAGAGCGGTATATATATATATATATATATATATATATATATATATATATCCAATGGTCCATTAATTCCGACTTCTGTGAACATGCGAATTCTAACCCTACTGCCAACCATCATTGTCGGTATTCTCCAACTGTCACGACTTCTTACCTTAACTCCAGGCAACTTCGTCCTGTAGCAAGTCACTAGCGAGCATCAGGTTAACTTTCAAGTGTTGAGTTGTAAGGATTAGATTTATTTTTACGAGTTTGACCACGAATTAATACCATTTAGAGAACCATTTAAAACCCACAGGGAGTACTGGATAGCTTTTTCATCCTAGTTTGGGAATCATTAGCAGTATGCACCCAGTGGGGTTCGAACTCTGGGGATTCCGGTTACAAGACAAACTGGCTCGTCTACCATTCAGCCACTGAGACCCGATTCAATGGCCAGTCCGTGAATTCTAACTTCTACCAATTCGTGATTTAGTGCGACCACCAACTAATGTCATCGAGGGGAAATCCATCCTCACACTTGACTGGATGGACCTCACTGGTCACGACTTCTTACTAGAACTCCAGTAAACTTCGTCATGTAGCAAGTCACTGGCGAGCATCAGACTAATTTAAAGTACTAGTTTGTAAGAAATTGATTCGTTTAAAGTTAGGCCAAAGATTAGTAAAGTAGTACCAAAGAAAATCTGTGACAGGAAGTAAGACATAATAGAGATTTCGACACTTAATAATCATCCCAATAAATCAATCACGAAGCATATAGGATATCGTAGAAATAAATTTCAAAGAAAAAGTAATATTAGAGACCACATGTTCAAAGAAAACATGCACAGAAATATTACAGCACCAACAATAGTGCTTCCATAGAAAGAAGGAGCCTCTAAAACCTTATATAGAATTCTTAACAAAGCAATGGTAAAGGTAGCATTCAATCCCACAAACTCACTTAGAAACAAATTAGGTTTGTTTGAAAGTTTATGTGGAGCTCATTGAACGAAACGAGTTTAGTTCATCTAAGACCATATTTTTTTTCCTTCACGTTCCTCAGTGAAACATAAGGCTTCAAGCTAGTGGCTTGAAGTTTCTGTAGCAGTGTTTATTTTACAGGATGGGGTTGCTAGCCTCGTGCCCAACCTTTCCTCTTTACCAGCATTCTTTCTGGCTCAGCGAGGTAAAGGAGTGCGTTGGCGCCCGGGGATCGAACCCCGGACCATGCTTTATTTGATATAACCTGGTGGTACAGTTTTCTTAAATAAAGGATGTTTCCAGCACATTTTATCGCTTGTAATCATATCTATGTAATGTTGTTCGATATGATATGCCTGGAGTTCTGTTAAGGAGTCTCAACAATTTCAGTCCATAAGGTCAGGTGGGAGGTTGAGTACTTGTCGACAACAACGGCTGACGAATCAAAAGAAGTTAGAATTCGTGAGTCATTCGATATGCGTATATATATATATATACCACGTTGATATCTATTGAAACATTTTATTGAACAGTTCAAAGGAAAAGTTTCCCGACTGCCTAAATTAAACAAAATATTTCCACACGATAAAACGAATGTGATGAAAAAACGACAGCAATACATCACCGTTAATACAATACAGTATAACTGTATTGTATGCCTAGCCATCGCCTTCCTCGACAATGGGCAATGTTAGCTGACATAAGGTCAGGTTGGGAAAGAGCCAGTGGTGGTCAAACCAAAACATGTCGTCATCAGCCAATGAAATCCACAACAAATAGTGTAAGCCACGTAGGAAGGTGTAGACTTCCTAGTCGGGGTCCTCAGGACAGTAAAAGCCAATGGCTGGATACAATTGACGATATGGCTCAAAATCGTTGTCAATGGCTGACTCAGCATCAGTAGTCATACGCTCTATAATTCAGCTGTTGACTTATCTAGGTTCTCCTTTTCACATCTGATATTATTAATTAATGATTTTAATTAATTAAATAATTATTTCATGATTTTTCTTCTTCTTCTGCTTTCTGTTAGTTTCAGTTAAACTCTGATTCTTTTGATGAATTAAATTTTACCACTAATGGAAGTATTATATGCAAGTCTAATATGAAGGACTACAAACATTCTGGATGTGATGCTGATGATAATAATAACAACAATAACAGTAATAATAATGATAATATGAGCAGTCATGATAATGGGGATAATGATGATGATGTCAATTTCCCTGTATGGGTTGCATTTCGACAAGGTTATGTTTCAGGGAAATTTCTTACCTCCCTACCAAATGGACGATGTCGTGTACTTATTCTACCCGGACAAGAAGTAATCGAAGTGAATACTGAAGTGGTGGAACGTGTAAGAAACTATTTTTTCTTCTTGTTTTGTTGAAAATTATTTTCAAGTTTTGGTTTTTAGAGAGATTTAACTGGTTTCAATTTTGATCATGGGGTTAACATCAGTAAGAGAGTTATTGTACTGGTTGGATAGCTGCCTCGTCCTAGTTTCAGGTACTTCAGTAGCAGTGCAAATCCATTACCCTGCGTGGGATCCGTCCGACTCAGGACCTCCAGGTAACGAGGTCAGCCAGTTGACCGTTCAACTATTGGATTGAAATCTACTCGTAAACGAATTCTACTACTTTTGTCCAGCACACACACACTCTCTCTCTCTCTGGATTTTAATGGTTCAAACTTGAAAATTGTTTGTTAGCAATGCCACACTGTAATAACAACACCACCTCTACTGAAATTTCAAAGCTTCTTGTTTGAAGTCCTATTTTCCATTTGAAACTCAAAGGAATAGAAAAGAAAACTTCCCCTATTGTCTGAATATGTTGCTATGATTATGATGACTTGAGTATACTTGAAACGTCATCCACATAATGTAATACATTATCGATGTGTTGTATTAAGTAAACTGATTTAATTTGGAGTCGTATTCTACCATAGTCGCATCATCCTGGAAGAGAATAAAGGAAGCAATGGATACAGAACTCCGACCAGAACAAGCTGGATTCAGGAAAGGCAAATCATGTTCTGACCGATTTACAACTCTACGCATCATCATCACAGAACAAAGCATGGAATCGCAATCAGACCTCTACCTCAACTTTATAGACTCTGAGAAAGCCTTCGACAGCGTTGACGGCGAATTAGTGTGAAAACTACTCGAGTGCTATGGCGTACCCCAAATATTCATCAATCTTATTCAACAGCTGTTCGACAACGGCATATGTCAAGTGATCCACAACGGAAAACTCAGCGAGCGTTCGGAGTAAACACAGGAGTCAGACAAGGGTGCTTATTATCACCAATGATATTCCTATTTGTGGTGGACTAGATTATGCGTCAGATAGGGTGAAACGAGAAGACAGGGATACCCTGGACCGACGTGAAGAACCTAGAAGACCTGGATTACGCGCGTGGATGGTTTATGTTTGATGTCATATAAAATCGAAGACTTGCAAGCGAAAACCGACAAACTGGTCGAAGAAGCAGCCGGCGAATACAGAATTCCAGGAGAACATAGACAAGACGGAGGTTATGAAAATAACCAACAACAACAGCAACAGCACCAACAGTCAGGCCCAATCACCATCAACGGGAGGGATTTGGAAGAGGTTACTTCATTCACTTATCTATAGAGCATTGTCTCAACTACAGCCAGTCGGAACGGACGAGGATGTCAAATTGAGGGAGAATCGGGAAGGCGAGAAACACATTCATCAACCTGAAACCAATCTGGAAATCTTCGTCACTCAGCATCAACAACAAAATTCGGTCGGATCTTCAATACAAACTTCAAGTCAGTTCTTCCATACGAATCAGAAACTTGGCGGGCCACAAGGAATATTTCCAACAGCCTGTTGCAGACCTTTATCAACCAACAAATGTCTTCACTGACTCTATACTGAAGATCAGATGGGCGGGACGGAAAGAATCACCAACAAGAAACTATGGGAACAAACAAAACAAGAACCAATCGCCCAACAAATATGCAGGAGAAATTGGAGATGGATCGGGCAGTCGCTGAGGTGACCGCTAAGTGATATCGCGCGTCAGGCCATTTCTCGAGGGGAACCCGAGAGGGAAGTGGCGAGTAGGCCGTCAGTGCAAGGGTGACATGGAGAAGATCGTGTGAAGAGGAGTTGAAAGAGTATGGACTAACATGGATGCAGGTGAAAAGTACAGCAGAAGGAAGACAGAAGCAAATGGAGACTTGCAGTTAAAGCCCTATGTTCCACTAGGAACCCAAGGGAATAATAATATAATTCTACCATAGTGGTCAAACTGTACTAGGGGCTTAATGTATCAGGATTATTCATCCTCATCCTTTGGCTATGATTTACGGAATAGAGTAGTCAACTTAGACTATCTTATCTCATGTACACAATTTAAATTCACTTATTGCCCATTAGATGTTAGTTTTGATCTGTTATTATTAGATGATGGTTGGAGGCAGTTGGCAAGAAGCCACGACCCCCACCCCCCTTCCGAGGTTTTCTACTTGTTGGCACTTATCAGAATTGCATATATTTATAACCTCGAAGGAATTGATGTCCCTTTTGGAGATTTGCACGCTGTGTCAGTCAATCAGTGTTTCACTCAGAAACGTTATCATTGAGCTATTCGAACTCACGAGTGACCTTCTTTAGGACTGAAGCTGATATGCTGATTCCATGATATGTCTAGTTCTTAGGGTTGGTAATTCGCCGAGTTCATGTATATTCATTCATCTCTTAAAATTTTATTTGTGTTGCTGATTATGCTGCAAGTTGTGAACCAGTCAGTTTAAAAAAATCACTGCTTCAAATTTTCGTTATCGTTGGTATGCAGCATAACTCATTTAAGCTGATGCTGACTCATGGATATTTGTGGTTGTCAGACATTCACGTAATAAGATCTTGTTAGGCATATAGTTTCTTCACTAATCCTGTGGAAGTAAATCTAGTCCATTCGCCAGGTGTGGGCATGAATACCCTTTCTGTTTTTTCAGTTAGGTTATTTATCTCTTTACTGCTAAACAGTTTTAAATATCAATATTCTGATCAACTACGCATTTGAAAAATTAATAAATGGTTATTACTCAACTTTTATTCTCTATACATGCTGTCAAATATCCAGATCTTCGCGTGCTACACGGAGTGTGGCGACTTGAACTTCCGCACATTTGTGCAAAGTTCTATGTCGAAAACAGACAGACAAATATCCAGATCACAGAGATCCTGAACCTATCGCTAGTTTCAGAAGAGTGAGCCTAATACACAGAATACTAGGCAGTTTAACCGACACAAAACAACAGAAAACGGTTTGCCAACCGGTACACGACTAGACGGTGATAGCCTTCTTATCTTCCGCCAATGGAGACTAGTCCGGATGAACAAACTGTTCAATAATCACCAGCACTGACAGATGTTGTCATCGATATGAATACCTTAATAGTTTATAACCCGCTCAACGGATTCCTTCGCTTTCTTATGTTTCTGTTTAACTCAGTCAAGATAAATGATTACAATGAACTGAAGGATTTAGTTCGTTGCATCCTCGCTTATGTGTGTTTTGATGTTCGGTGGTTGAATGGTCTATAGGTTCGTCTTATAACATGAAGCTATTAAGGCTTCGATCCTACATAAGATCATGAGAGCACACGGATGAAATCTATCAAATTCTTACAAACTAACGCATAAGAAATGAGATTACCACTTTATAGAGACGTGACACATAGGTTAAAGTCCTCAATTTTCAGCTATTGGATCTTGGGTTCGAATCCTGCTGTGAACAACTTTTCATCCTGAAAAATTGGATGGTAGTATCATTGACTCTCAAGGAATAAATAAAACGTCTGTTCAGGTTAACTGAGTACAATCAACAACAATAACGGCATTCACCATATATGTATATTGTGCATTATATTATATCCATTCACTTCATATATTAATAATTCCTTCACGTTCCTTTTAGAACATAGGGCTTCAAACTACAGACTTGAAGTTTCGGTAGCAGTAGTGTTTATTTTTACAAGATGGGGTTGCTAGCTTCATGTCTAACCTTTCCTCTTTACCAGCATTCTTTCTGGCTCAGCGAGGTTTAGGAGTGCGTTGGCGGCCGGGGATCGAACCCCGGACCATGTGGATGGTCGGCGAGCGTCCTAGCCTCTGTACCACCAACAAAGGGGGTTGATCTTGTTATTTAATTTTTTTTCGTTTTTTACTATTATTTTTTGTCAAGGCAAATCCTTCAAGTATGGATCGTGTTGATGATCTGATTAAATTACGTTATGCGAATGAATCTAGTGTAACACATTCATTTATACAACGTTATGGTTCCGGGTTAATATTCACCTATGCTTCAGGTATCAATTTGATCAGTATCAATCCAATGATGCCGTTGAATATTTATTCTGACAAAGTGAGTTAACAGGTTGTTATTGCTGTTGTTGTTGTTGTTAAGGTCTGTTTCGTTCTGGTTCTATTAAGCTAGTACTAAGTTTAATGCTTTTCTTTATGCTTGGTCTTTATCTCGTCGGGAGTACGAACCCACCACAGGGGCTCAAACCCAGGACCTGACGGATACAAACCAAGCTTGTAAGACCATTCAGCCACTGAGATTCGACCCAATGACCAGCCCGTGAATTCCAACTTCTACCAATTCGTGTTTTTAGCGCGACTGGCATCAGCCAATGCCATTGGTAGTGAGTATTTGTCCTCATTCTCGACCGGATAGACTCCGCTGGTCACGACTGCTCACTCGAATTCCAGGCATCCCGTAGCCAGTCAATGGGCAGCATCAGATTAACTTTCACGAGTTGGCTTGTTGGGATTTGATTTGTTTCAAGTTTTTACCATGGACTGATATCATTTAGAGAATTATTAAAAACTCTAAAATCACAGATTAGGAGAATTTCGAATTCATGGGTTGGCCATTGAGTCGTATCCTAGTGTTTGAATAGTGTATGAGCTAGCTTGTCTTGTAACCGGAAGGTCTTGTGTTCGAACTCTGACGGTTGGTGGGTATTTCCGACGAGTCGCATACTAGGACGAAAGAGATGTCCAGTATTCTCTGGGGGGCTTTTCAGTGATTCCCTAATTGTGATATCAATCCGTTATCAAACATGAAACCGATCAAGTCCCTATAAACAAACTCTTAAAAGTTCTTTTATTTATTTTTCATTCCTCTGCGCTCCTAGTGAAACATAAGGCTTCAACCTTGAGCTGTGAAGTTTCGGTAGCGACAGTACTTTTTTTAACGGGGCGAAGTTGTTAACCTAGTGCACAACATTCCCCATTTACCGGGTTAACTACCGGCTAAGCGAAGTTTACGAGTGCATTGGCTGGGAATCAAGTACGGCCTGTGTGTGTAGTTGGCGAGTATTTTGCAGTTGAGCCACCAATGCATAAAGTAATTTATGATGAGTTCGAAATTAATCACCAAGCTAATACTTTGTTACTTCAACTTTTATATAGATGTTTAATGTCATCTATCAACTGGAATAATCCCCTCGTTACTTTTAGTTAATGACTGAAATAGTGAGTTATATTCCGGAATTCCCCCTTCATGAATTTGAACAAAGCAAATAACATTGCATGGTGTATGATAGAATGGATCTATTGTCTATTTTGAGGTTCCTCAATAAATTTGTAGCCAAAATCGGATATGGATTGGCCACACGCTGAGGTGACCATTGAATTACATCCCCCAATAGGCCAGTGCTCGAGTGCTACCCGAACGGGAAACGGCAAGTTGGGCTTTGGTTGAGGGTGGTGACATTAAGGAGATCGTACAAGGAGGAGGTGAGAGACTATGCATGGTAATCTTAGATCCATTTAAAGAGGACCTGAGAAAATAGGACAAGTGAAGATGTGCAGTTAAAGCTCTATGTTCCATTCGGAACCCAAGGGAACAATAATAATTGTTATTATACATTATTATTATTGTTTCTTTTAATTTGTAGAGGGCTTCAGCCGTACGTCTTCATTGCTTTCGGTTCTCTGTCAATTGTTTATTTCATCGTTTGATATCCTGTCGGCTGCATGCACAACCTGAATAATGAAAGTTAATAGTTCGATCACAGTTCTAGCATTCTTTATTTTCAATCTAGTATTACATTAGATTGAAAACTGTAATAGAACTATTAATTTTCATCACTCAGGTTGTATTCAGCCGATAAGCTGCTGACAGACGAAGTAAACAATGCGTCCGTTTTATTCTCTTTCATGTGATTTTGTATATATATATATATATATATATATATATGGTGGGTGTGTTGTTTTTAAAATACGATAGGTGCGTGTATATTTCATTTATCATTTTGTGCTGTAGCTAATGACTAATAAATTTATTTCAGCAATCAATTCGAATATTTTTTTGGAAAGTACATCGTTTAGTGTTTTATAGGATATGAATATTGTTAAGAAAAATAGATTTCAGTTGTTATGAGAAGATTACCATTAGAAAGGTAGCTATGAGCCAGGGTTTCTTATCCGGGGGTACTTATCTTCGAGGGATTTGTGTAACCCTTTCCTGAACATTTCAACTTTGATCATTCATTGACGTAGGTCGAGAAAAAAAGTTGATCACTAACCTGTTTTAAGTGACAAAGGCTTCCACTTTTGTGGAAAATATGTCTGGTCAATAGCAAAAACCGATCATCATCAATAAAAAAAATCTGAAGGAAGTCGCCTCTTGCACAGTTTCAACCACAGCTGATTTGGATGATGATGTGGGCCATATTACCCTGAAATCAATTTGAATATCTATATAACTTAATACAACGAATAAGATCCGAATTTTCAACACTTGTGTCAAGTCAATAATTCTAATATGATTTAGAGACCTGATGCATGTGCGCGTCGGTGGCATAGCGGTTGGGACTCTCGCCGACCATGCGCATGGTCCGGGGTTCGACCCCCTATCGACGCACACCTGATATCTATGGTCAGCCTGCAAAATTTAGGGCTACCGATATCACATGCTGAAAATTCCATACCTGTACCAAAATTACTGTGTGGTTTCAAGCTATAATCAAAATAAAAAAATAAAAGCATTCCCACCGATAGGTTGTTGCAGACTTTCATCAACAGCTTCTTTCTCTGGTAAGCCGGAAATAATAATAATAATAAGCAACAGGGAATTCTGGAAATAAAGCGAAATAGCCAGAAACCTACTGTCCAATAGATATGCTGAAGGAAATGGAGGTGGGTAGAGGATACATTGGCTATACATGTAGGAGACATAGTACACTCAGTTCTCAAGTGGAGCTGGAATCCAAAAGTGACGATATGAGTATTCGAGTGGGTAATATATATATATATATATATATATATACGGAAGGTAATGTAAAGGGATCAATGAAAGGAGTTGTGGGTAGTCATAGAGAGAATCGAGCACAATAGAGATGTGCTTCTAAGACCCTATTTTCCACTCAAAACCCAGTGAATGAGTAATGAAGAGCATACTCTAGTTACAACTGTAGGACTTGATAATAAAAATGACTAAATCATTGGATCGTAATCAGTGTCAATCTTTAATTCTCATTTAATGAACCGGAGTGAATTTGTTCAATTATTTATTAATACCTTGTAAATTAGAAGTTGATCTTCTGTTTTAATATGTATTTTTTTTTATTTGAATGTATTTTGCACGCATACATGACATTGACCGGGTGTGCTCTGATCACTTCATAAGATATTATAATTTCTAATGTTCATAATGATAAGATATAGAAAGCATATAGAGGAAAACAAGCGTTTAGTGCTCTCTTCTTTTCAATGGTTCGTCTATGTCATTGGCTGGTTAGTTATATCACCAATCGATTGTGTATACTACAGATTGATATATCTAGTCGGAAACTATTTACATGAAATAGTACTGCTTGTTATCCAGATCGAAGTGATTTCAACATCGACTCGAGTACACACCAAGCGAGAGGAACTTCAATTCGTTCTGGCTTGGGCACACTTTACTGCTTGATGTGAATGGCTTCCTACTACTTATATGAGACTCAATCAGTAGTATATAGTATTATACTATTTTGGTTGTTTTCTTGATATCTGAATCTTTGTGAATCAAATTCATGCGCAATTTACGCAGTTAGAGGAAGTAAAATTTTACCACAGTTTCATTTAGAGATCAAAATTATTCAAATTACAATCAATCTGATCTTTTTGATAATATCAGAAATGGTAATCAAGAAACCAAGCGAGAATATGTAAGACTTTGTACTACTGATTAATTGAAATGAGTAGTTGCATACGACTCACATCAACCAGTGGTGCTTATCATTTATCCAGATTAGAGTGATCTAAACACCGAATGGCTGTTTCACTGACTTGTAACTGAACTAATCAACCGTGAAGTCGGATTGACTCAGCTCAAAATGTGTACATTGAGAATTAATTTGCGAATCGCGAATTCTAAATAGGTTGTAACGACCAAAACTGACTTCTAGTGATGTGAACGCAGCAAAACCGATCTCTACGTCCTACTCTATAGCTGAGTAAAACTTCTTTGAGTCATGTACAGTCACAAAGCTCTCCAAAGACAGTAAAGCAACGTTATTCGCTGTAGAATCGATGGTTCTATTCAACAATAATAATAATAACATGAGAAACTCAAAATTACCTCAACTGTGCTGTTAGACAACTATACAGACAAGGTAATGTTCTAGATACAAAATAAGTACTGTGGAATAAAATTACCAAGTATTGGGTTTGTAGGGATTTTGTTTGATTGGCTGAAGGATTTCATCAGTTAGAGAACCACTGGAAAACTTGAGAGTAATGGACACAATTTCCTCCTCCATCAGTACACATCTACCGCCAAGGTTCGAACCCAGGGCCTTCTGGTTACAAGGCAAGCTAGCTCGCATACCATTTTATCCACTGGGACCCGATCCAATAGCCAGTCCATGAATTCTAATTTCTGCCCAGGAAGAGGAGCCCTGGCGGTGGGTGCGTACTGATGAAGAGTCCCAAACTAGGACGAAACAGCTGTCCAGTATTCCCAGGTTTTCCAATGGTTCTCTAACTAATGTTAGCTCATGATGAAAATCCTATAACCAATAAAATCCCTACAAACCAACACCTGAAAATTACATCATATGAAACAGCACATGATCAATGTTCCGCGCAACTACGAAAGAGAACACATTAGAATTAGAGATTAAAGAGGGAGAGGCAAAAACTAATAATAAGGATCAAGTCAGTATATGATATGCAAGTGTCAGAACAATGATGATATGTGCAGCCTAGGACAAGAATGGATAATATATACAAAGTTACTTGAAACACCCGAATAAGTATGAATATTGTGATTAGATCGTTCAAGGAGACGGGAGGGGGGGAGGAGGGGTTAAGGGGCGGGATTTTTCAAACAGCTATCCCGTTACATCAAGTAGATCACCACATATTATGTGATGTGAATAATTTTCTTTTCTTGGTTTTCAATCGAAAATGGCAATGATTGTTTCCTTAAACTGTTTGCCATGTCCAAATGTGATAAACGGTGATGCTACATCTAAGGATGGCATTTGCTTCCCATTTACATAGATATCATCTACGTTAGCAATGAATTTCAAAATGTCTTTAACACTATGATTTACTACCATCTTGTGTAACGGTTGGAGGAGTTCACCTAGCCACTTTGCCAGTCGTTGTTAGGTGGAATTAGATATATCTGGGACTTGGCGAAGAGGAAGTCCTGGTTTATGTACTTTGGGCAGACCATACAATCGTGAAGTATTACTTCTAGTAGGTTTAAGACGGTTGTAGGCTGCCTCTGAGATTACTCCACTTTTTCTCAGCTCCTTAAGGGTGTTAGTTACTACAGACAAATCGACGGCATTGCCATGGGTTCTTCATTGGGGCCAATTTTGGCAGATTTCTTTCTTGCTAAGGCTAAAAATGGTCCATTGAAAAAATGTGATAAAGTTGATTCTAACCGACAATTTACTTAAACATTTTTTTTCTGTTTTTATGTTGATTTTCTTGTTTCGAAACGAAAATTATTCACAAATACTATATATATATATATTTATTGAAAAAAGGTTATGGATCTGTTTACGGATTGTGAAGTACGCTATGATATGCCACCGCATGTATACTCTGTAGCTCAACTGATTCTAGCCCGTTTAAAACGTCGTTTATTCTATACACATCTGACAATAGAAGAACATTTGAATAATGATCCAGTGTATAGTCTGCCGTATTCGATTAGTCAACAAGTTCTATGCCTGTTAGGACGTTCTGGTTCGGGTAAAACACGTGTATCAAATGATGTACTCACTTATATGATATATCAATCTGAAAAGTCAATACAAAAGCGCAATCATTCAAATGGTAATAATAATAATAATAATAATAATGATAGCAATGACGTTTTATCCAGTAAAATCAATGGTAAGTTTCTTTTATTTATTGTGAAGTGTATAAGGTATTTTGATGAGGTATACTTCATTTTTCACATTTTTGTTTTCGGTATTATAGTCAGTTAGTTAGTTAGTTGGTTAAACTGAAGGGTAAATTGTTCGATTGATGATCAGAAGACAGGCATAGTATGAAAGTGATGCTTCTCATTGTTAGGAATGTAATGAGCGGAATAAAAAAGGCTCTCTCACACACAAGCACACACACACACGTAGTCACACAGAATTTCGATACTATGGCTTACGTCCCTAATCTAAGCGTAATTCTGGTAGGTAAGTGATAAATCTACCTATCTATCTATCTGGTCACTGATTCTTTGTGATCTTATTTCTCTGTGGTTCGTCAGATCACAGTTATTGTGATAACAACAAAAAATACAACCCCCCGCCAATCCCCCTCCCTCAAATAAACAAACGTGTATGATATACTACTGTCAAATTTGTTTTTATTTTAAAGAAACAAAGTTAAAAGAAGAAGAAGAAGAAGCATTTCAAGTGAAACACATCATACTTCTTACTGATAAATTCTTCATAGTTTTCTTCTAATGGCTGCTTTTTTTCTTTTCTTTTTGGATTTATTGGGGACATACCTTAACAACAAAAAAGAAACTCTTAGCATTATGTACCGTATTCATAGAAAAATGGTTGCTTTTCTCCTCATTTTTCACTACTAACCACTATTACTAGTGTAATACTACTGATATAAGATAAGTAGACGACAGTAGTCGATGATATAGGTTGTGGTATATACTACTGATTGTTATGAGTAGTTGAGAACTACTTATCCTACGCCAACTATTAGTACTAGTGAAACGACAGAACACAATAATAATAATAATAATGATTTACTTTATTCCAAAAACAGTACTTGTGATACTGAATGGAATTTTCAGCATTAATCACAATATTGCATCTAATTTCCTCAAATTATAAATAAAATTAATCGCACAGAAAATCTTCCACATTTACAATAGAGGTAGTGTCAAAAACATGCAGTATATAAAATGGAAATAATGATAACAGCTGAGGTAATAAGAATAATACAAGTGGAAATTGCCGTGGGCTTGTTTCACACAGTATTCTCATTGCGGTGTAGAAATCCTGACATGTTTAAAAATATTGAATATAACGTTCTCTTTACATGGTATGGTGAGGGGAAAAACAAAGATTACATCAGTCATAGAGATAAGCTGGTGTTTGCAATTATGAGAGTAAAACAAAGAAGTAACAGGATCATAAATATAATAGAAATAGGAAAGTAAAACTTGAAGGTATATAAGGATGGATGGAGGAAATTGTTTATTTACCAAATGAAAAAACGTTAGTTAATTCTTGCCTGACACTATTTTCATCACCACATAAAATACGTGCCAATATTATGGTATCATAGAATTTTGACACTTAGACGTGCGAGCATACAGTTTTCTGAAGTTACTCCTTGTTCTACCTGAGAAGATGCAAGGTGAAAGCTGAGGGTAAAGCGGATGCTCCAAGTCAGACAAAATCCCTCTAGCAAATTTATTGCACGAAGTCAAGTGCCTATCGACAACGACTTTAACTATGTGGTCCACTGGGACACCACTCACCCTACTGACCGTCTTCAGCATTTTGCGAATTTTGACATGGCCTTTTTGAAGCAAACTATGAAAGAATAAGGGTGAACAATAAAGAAGAATAGGTGGAATACAAGAGTTTATGAACTGTAAGAGGAGGTTTTGAGTTATACCTGAGTGTCTTAACTTAATGTAAAATATCAGGCGGAATATTTTACTGGAGATTGCTAAGACATAGGATGATCAGGAGAGATCAGAAGAGAGAATAAGTCCAATATACTGTCATGAGAATCGATGACTTCTTTTAACTGTCTTTTACATCTTAAGCTGAAATCGACAGTTTGACATTTAGAAGGATTCAGTTTAAGACCGTTAGACTCAGACCATATACTGACTCCTGATAGAAAGCTATTTATTTTGGTACAATCTAGCTGGGAGTTAACAGCCATTGAAACCGTTAAATCATCAGCGTACTTCACAAAGTTTATTTCATCGGAAGTGCTTCGATAGCACACTGTTCCTTTGCCCAAAATGATGTACAATTATTTTTAATAGAAAAGGCTTATGTAGCATTTGTCAACTTACCTCATCTCTGATGTAGACATGATATATGGCTATCATCGATCAATGAATGTGTGTGTACTGCTCAGCACTTCACTATATCTTCCTTTATGGCTGTGATACATGGCCATTGAAAGTGGAAGATTTGATGAAAAGCCTAGCTGTGTTTCTTAGGCACAGATTTTTACGTTCTATCACCCTTGTTAAGTGGTGTGATATGGTGAATAGTACTTAGGTTAGGCGTGTATAGTGTTAGGTAGATAAGGAGGATAAGTCAATTGATGAATTTGTGAAGCCAAGTTGATTGAGATGGCTAAGACATTTTTTGAGCACACCAAGCCACTGCCTTCTTCATCGAGTAATGTTAGCTGACTAAGAGTTAGGTTGGAAAAGAGTTAGAAGTGGTCGAATCAATACCTGGAATCAATCAATGAAGTCTTTGCAGTTGGTTTGAACCACATGAGGTGCGTAAGACGCTAACATCCAATGGTTAGAGACTATTATTGATATGGCTCATAATTGTTTTCTATGGCGAAGATTGCATTCACGCCTTCTAATATGCTACATTCATTAAATCCTCATGTTTTCTCGTGTTAGTATTCTTTCTTCTGTGCATTTTTGCTTATCGTAGTTCGCTTGAATTTCATTCTTCTTTCTTCCCTCTAAACTTGCATGCTACATGGAGTTTGGCAACTTGAATTGGTGAGCTTCCGAGCTGAGTTCATCCAGTCAAAAGCTACTCACTGACGTCAAGCGGTAATACTAGTATCAGTGGATAATAAAGGGATATCTGGTCCCATCGTAATATTTTTCACTTGATAAGATTCTTTGATGTTTGGTTATTGACCTGGTCTTTATTGTCCCTATTCGGGCCTGGCGCGTAATGCCACCTAATAAATTTCTCCAGCGTTAATCCAAACTATGTCAGTTTCTTGCTGCACAGTTTTTGGGAGATAGATTCTTGACTGACTGGCTGCTTTGCTAGAATTCCTTCCTACTCGTTCGTTTTGCAGTATGGACCGAAGACAGCTGTTGATGAAAGAACTGACTGATGTGATATTGGTGTCGAAGATCCGGATCTTGTTTCTTATATGCTGAGTGCAGTGGAGTTCAAGACTGATTTCAGACTAATGAAGGTTTGTTTTGATTTTCCAATCCTGGCTTTGACATCTTCATATGACACCTGTAGTTGAAATGATGCTATTTAAATAAGTGACTTTCTTCAAATTCTCTCCGTAGTTGGGGATTTTTGGTTAGTCGTCTTCATTACCTCTGTGTTCTCTTTAGGTTCTATCTTCTCTGTTTTTCCTATGAAGATATATATATATATATATATATATATATATACGTGGTTGTTCTCAGTGGCTTTTCTTCTATATTTACATATATCGTACATCAAATTACACTTAAATTTCTTTTTTAATTAAAGCTTCTCGTCTACGTGCACTATTCAACTTGCTTGATTCATTCACTTGTTCACGTATCGTACTCAATACAAATGGAAGTCGAGCTTTACGTATATTCTCATTGGAATTTGCCAAAATTAATTCACTGCCAATTGTAAATCAACCTGAAGATATTGGTTTAATGATTACAGGTTTAACAACACGTCTGCTGTTGTTTGAGCGTAGTCGTGTTACAGATCGACCTGAAATTGAACCAAATTTTCATATATTTTATTATTTATTAGCTGGACTGGATGATGAATCAAGGTAAGTTGGCGTTATTTATTTATACAGTAGCATACTACAACATTGAATATTTCAGTTATTCAGATTGAACAATTTTTAAAAGTGCGTTTTCCTCGTGTGTTTTATTTCATTCATTGGCTCGCCTATAACATTAGCTAGCTGCAGCTAACAGAAGTTAGAATTCAAGGCCTATTTGATTCCCTGTCACTCAGTGATAGCTGAGTGGTCAATGAACTCGTTTTATAATCTGAAAAGTGTGAGCTCCTCCCCCCCCCCCTCACTGGAGTGATGGATACGTACTACTAGATAGTCCCTAACTAGGATCAAACTGCTATCTAGTACTCCGAAGTTTTCAATTTTCTTTGTGACTGATATCTGTTCGTAATGAAATCTGACTTAATTTGTAGAATCGCATTTTTTGCCCATTCAAATAAACTTCAAATGAAACCAGTTTTGAAGTATAATACATGTCAAAATAATTGTCAAGAGTTAGTTTGTAGGGATTTGATTTGGTTGGAAGATTTTCATCATAGGCGTCAAAGCCAGAATTAGAAAGGTGAGATACGCTTTAATCAACCTGAAACCAGTTTGGAAATCTTCTGCACTGCACTCAGCCAGCAAAAACAACAAGGTTTGAATTTTCAACACGAATAGGAAGTCAATCAGTCATAAACATGTACTGCGTATCACGAAGAGGATTTCCAACATGTTACAGACTAACATCAACAGCTGCCCCTCTCTCTGGTTGCATACTGAAGATCAACTGGCCAACTGGAATGAATTAGCAGCAAGACGTTCTCACTGGGAACAAACTAACAGGCGACAGCCGATTGCTGAACAACTACGCAGGAAAAAATGGAGATGGATAGGGCATACGTTGAGGAGGCCGTCGATTGCCATCGCTCAAGTGGAATCCAAGTGGGGACTGACGAGTGGGTCGTCGGTGCAAGTTTGGCATAGAGGAGATCACGTTAGGAGGAGGAAATGAGAGATTGTGGTCAATCGTGGAGCCAGTTGAAGAGGACAGCTGAAAATAGAAGAAATAATAGATTGATATCAGTTAGAAAACCAGTGAAAAAAGTACTGGATCTCTGTTTCCTCCTAGTTTGGGAGTCTCCATCGGAACTCACCCATTGGAATCTAGACAGATACAGAGCCTTCCGGTTTTAAGTCAAGCTCGTAGACCATTCAACCACTGAGACCTGACTCAATGGCCAGCCGATGAACTCCAACCTCTCCGAACTCGTGATTTTAGCGTGACTGGCACCAGGCACGCACTGATCACGACATTTCACTAGAACTGCAGCGGGCGACTTCATCCTGCAGCTAGTCACTAACAAGCATCAGATTAGTTTGCAATGGTTATTTGTAGAGATTTGATGTGTTTCAAGTTCGATCACAGATTGATGTCAATGCATATTGTTATTTTTTTTAAGTTATTTTTGACGAGTTTTCATCTTTTTTTCATTTGTAGACGAGAATTATTCCTAACTGATTTAGATGCGCCAAATTTGTTTATGACTCGTTTACAAAGAGTAAGTTTCTGGTAATTTTCCTTTTTAAGACAATTCCTTATTTATGTTATCTTAATGCATTGTTATTAGTTTGATTTTTGTTATACTGGATTACTTGTGGTGTGCAGTGTTAGGCACCAGCTTACGATTTCCGTGTGCTACGCCTCAGTGTACTTTGTGTCACCAAATGGTTAGTGGAGTTAGGGCTTTTACAAAACAACTCTAGAATTTGATTAGGGTCTCATTTGTGGCATTATCCTAGTTAATAGGGGGACCATCACACAAACTATACGGAGTTCATGAATTCAGTGTTAAGATTTAGTGCAGATAAGTTATGTTCGGGTGCGTCAGTGGCACAACAGTTAGGACGCTCCGTGACCATCCACATGGTCTGGGGTTCGATCCCCGGCCACCAACGCACTCCTTTACCTCGCTAAGGCAGGAATAAAAGCTGTTAAGGAGGAAAGGTTGGGCATGAGGCTAGCAACCCCATCCTGTAAAATTAAAAACTGCTATCACAACTTCAAGCCACTAGCTTGAGGCCCTATTTTCAACTGGGAACGTGTAGGAAAAGAAAAAGTTCTACTCGATGAAGTTATAGTTCTTCATTAATATATCTGATGCTCATACGTACTCGCTATCTACCTCGGTGTATCAAGAGGGCGAATACTAAAGGGGAACAGAGAGAGAGAGGGAGAGACCAATATGTATTACTAACCGATGATTTATTGACTACTGTTAATCTATGCCATAATTGGGTTCATGCAACAACTTAAATTTTTTAAATGAGACACGAGAGATTCTATGGTGCAGAATCTCTCGTAGTAGCGAATATGGAGTTACTGTTTTCTTTTACATTGAGCTGGAGTTCTTTGTTAGACTTCATCATAAATCGACAGCAATTAGTGAGATATTAAAAATCATGGAGTACAGGATAGTTGTTTCGTCCTGGTCGTGCACTCTTCATCATAACACACGCATGACCTCACCGAAGGTCGAGCCTAGGACCTTCAGGTCGTGTATTGGTCATGTTATCATACATCCATTGGGACAGAATCCGAATTCCTATCTACAACAACAATAATCCAAAAGTACACAAATGAAACTGAAGCACACTGCGCAGCACTCCAGTCTTGAGGTGAATCGAAAAGAAATGTTTAGTAACTTTCTTCAAGAAAAACTGTAAATACCTTAAAAATTTCATGAAGAAATCTTTAAACTCAAATGGAACTACCAGCAAGAAATCATCCTCAGGAAGTAAAAGAAAATTCATTCTATCATATGTCTGTATAAAAAATGTTACTGAAATAATAGTTAGAATACTAAAGCCATTCGCACACAAACCAATGTACAATCACTTCACTCAATGCTATGCAGACTATCTACAAAATAAATTGCATAAACTGTGATGATTAACAATTTATTGGTCAAAATAGGCATCTCCTCGAATTTCTAATCCAGGATTATAAGCTAGCCATGGAAAGACACGACATGCATTCTTCTTCATATCGATGCAGTATAAACAACTATGTGGAAACCAATTCGACTGGAAAAAATGTAGAATTTTCAAACAGTGGAAATACCAAAGAATTTCTACAAGTCTGGTACTCAAACAAATTGAGAGATCAAATTTATGAACTAATAAAAAATAGACCCAATAACGAAATAGTCGAATTCCAAATCGGGTGGAAAGGAGATGAACACTAATGCAAATTAACGACTATTTACGACAATAAAGGTGTTTAGGAGATAATAAATATATCATTCATAGAGAGTTGGAGTAGTTTTGCTGAAGATGTTGTCTAGAAGGCGGACAATGAAAGCTTCGCGGTTAAATCAATCAATCAGTCAGGTTAAAGAACGCTACTATTATCGGGTAATGGTATATGTAATACCATCACCAGCCAGTCTCGTCAAACTCGACACGATGAACCTCATCTGTCATGAACTATCACTATACATTTATGATAACTAACTGTGGGATGGGCTTCTTAGAGTGTACTTACTGAATTATTTTTATCTTTTGCTTTGTTAATATTCATCCGATGTGTTCATGTGTTTGTTATGTAATTACTTTGATAACTGCCTACTAACTCATATGAACTGTGATCAAGATTTGACCGGATGGTTGCAAAATAATTGAACGCTGAGTGAGAAGTACACATTTATAAAATTATATTTGTAAAAAGAAAATTAGATGTCAAATTTAAAATAAACATTTTCAGAAAACCGACAAATTCGGATAGATACCTAGATTACCATTCAGCTCACCCATTTACCACCAAAGTAACTGTAGCCAAGAATCTGATCAACAGAGCCAAACGTCAAGTTACTAAGGAGGAAGATATCAGCAAGGAATTAAAATTGGATCAGTCCACTCTTGAATCAAATAATTATCCTAAAGCCTTCATAAAAAAAAGTATTTAAAATGTGAAGATAAGGATGAATCAAAACCTGCTGCTAAGAATTGGGTTAGTATAGCGGTGATTCCTTACCGCAAAGAAACATCCGATGAAATAAAGCGAATCCTTAACAACCATAACATAAGACTGCATCTAACACCTTACACTCATTACTGGTGAAGGTTAAAGATAAAATAGAACAAGAAAACCAGCAGAATTGCGTATACCAGATCAATTGTGGGGATTGTAACGCAGTATATGTAGGAGAAACTTCTAGACAGGTTAATATAAGAATGAAAGAGCATAAACAATGTCTAAAGGTGGTTCCAAAGACCTCTGCAGACTTGAAGAAGCTAGAAAACAACTCAGCGATTGCCTGGATTCGATAGAAACGGGACACAAAATCGACTTTGATAAGACTAAGGTTTTACAGAAAGGTTTTGGTTCATATAAAGAAAGAGTGATTGCAGAAGCCCTACATATATGGGTGAATCCCTCATGATTGGACAAAGAATTTAAAAACGAGATATGTTCCTTTTATATATAAACCTCTGTTTTGTTGATTTCGATTAATTTCCGTGAATAAGTTCGGACCAGATTGCCGAACACTGGAAACGTTGGAATTAATCATTTCAATTTCGCTGAGATTTTACAAATATAATTTTTTACAAATGCCTACTAACTACTACGGTTGATATCTGTTGATCAAACAAGACCACTTATTCGTTCGTTGGTTGTCGATTAAGACAGTGTAAGATAGGTTTTACTGTCATGAGACCACATCGATTACATATTGAAGTATAAACCGGATTCAAAAATTAAGTAAATGAACAATATATATATATATATATATATATATATATATATATATGCATTCAGAACAAAAATTGTTAGGGCGAACAAGTGTGGTGTCAATAAATTCTTCTTCGGGCTCTACAATTATAAATCCATTTAATTTTAGCACGCAATATCCAACCAGTAAAGGTAAATTAGAATTATATTAGAAATGTGTATTGTGGAACAAGATGAGACGGAACAATAGTCAGTTCGTTTTTGAATATGCCTGGTCATTGAGAACATGAGATAAAATGAGATGAAATAATTAAGTTCAATAATAATGATTGTGAAATAATAACTATGATGTGGTGTAAAATTAAAAGTACTTTTGGTGTACAATCATCAAATAATAATAATAAATTTAGTGAAGTGGAATGAACAGGATTTTGCAAATATACTAACAACTTAGAAAAGCATTACTTAAACGTAAGGGTAATAGGAATCATTAAAAAATATTCACGAAGTCGTAAAAGGTCAAAAATGAACGTTTGTCAATGAAACAAAGGAATAGAAGAAGGAAATTACGATAGGAATTTAAAGTGCTAATGTTTATGGAGGATTTATTGGCTTTATTGTAGGCCAAGGTAAACATAACGGTTGAACATACTTCTTCTGTATACATACAGCCGGTCTTCTGGTATTGATTACTATCACTTCATTTACTGATAGAAGACGTAGTCCAGTTCCTCTAGATATATTCAAGACTAAACTGACTATTGTTTAATCCCATCTTATACTTGTTCCTTAATTCATTTCCGATAGGATTCTAATTTGCCTTTACTGGCTGGCTATTGTATGCTTAAATTAATGGTTTTAAAATTGTAGAGTCTGAAGAAGAATTTATTGAAAACAGTTGTTCACTCGATTTTTGTTTCCAATATATTATGGAGTGTAATATATATGGAATTGCGTACGTGTAGTGTGAACCTATGTTCACCTCCCAGTCACTTACTCTCCCTCCCCGCACTCTTGCAGAAGACTAAATAAGAAGCGAGAGACAATAACAACAAAACAAGTCTACTTACTTCTATTAAAAGTGTTCTTACTACTTTTCTCTCTGTCTGTCTGTCTCTGCAGCTGTCAGTCATAACAGACGACAACAAGATACAGTTGCTCACCTTAAGGATCAGTTATAGTAGTGAGAATAATAATAATAATAGTTTTCGAGTTTATACACATAAGTGATGTAAAATTCTTCAAATACTTCAATGAAATAATGAATATATGCTAATTTGTTTTCATCTTAGGGATGATAAGAGAGAAACAACAAGGTTATTTATTAAGTAAATAATAGTACTCATCGTCTGATTGATGATGATTGACGCATTCATCAGACTAGGGTGTATGCTTGTGTGTTCGTGTATCGGGTGTCTGAAGCCCATGAAAGTGAGACAGATTGCAGCTATGAGATTATTTTTGTTTACTTTCCTCCTCTACTTTATGCATGTGTATATGTGTGTTAGTCTACGATAAGATTTTTTTTGAATGCAATCCATTTCCTCATATTACAGTGATGAAGTAAAGAGACCTTTAGATTTTTATTGAATTTAAATATGTATTCTGCTCTTCGTTAATATCTGAGGATCAAAATGTCATTTCGGTGGATGGTGGGTAGCGGGGGCTCAAGTGGCCTAGTGTGAATGATAATGCTTTGGCATTTTTGAAACGATGAATGTTAGCCTGGTTCAAGTTTCAGTTAAATGAGGCGGGGGGAAACACCATCGCCACTCTTTGGGGACTGCAGACACATCCAGTTGCTGACGAGTCCCAAATAGGACGAAG